AGGAGGTTAGATACCAATTTGAATCGTCAGATACCAATTGGAATCAAGTTATAGCACGAAAGGAGACAAGAGAAAATGGAGAGATTTTCTAAAGTTCTAGCCTCTCGAAGAGAAGTACAGACGTCTCCGTACCATTCCGCAAGACTCTACTAGACTCGTTTTGATACATCGAGATCAACGAACCTAGGCTCTGATACCAATTTTGTCACGACCCACACCATCGTGATTGACACTCACACTAACCCTCCGGTGGGAGAACCATTCATACTAATTAGCTAACCAACTTAATCAAAATACTAAAGCATTTAAGTTATGGAAGCAAGTTAAATGTTAAGGAAAGAAACAGTGAGTTCCCATATACTCCAAATCAATAGTCTAACAACTAAACAAATGCGGAAAAATACACCTAGAACCTGAAAGTCAATGTGCCAAAACTCTAACGAGATCCATAAGTCTAAACAAGAAGGGTTACAACCCCAACTAATGTGCTAATAACTAACTAGAAAGTCTAAGTCTGAAATATGGACATAAATAGAAAGAGAACTCATGGAAACCCGGAAGAACTTGCTGACACTTGAATTCGAAACGATCACTGATCTTCTAAGTGAGGTCTGTCAATAGCCGCCTGAAGATGCCCTGTACTCAACAAAAAAAGAGTAAGTGCAGTATCAGTACACAACCACAGTGTACTGGTAGAATCACGCGGCTATCCCACTAAGTGCAAGATGCATAAGCCATTACAACATAATAATAACATCCATACACCGAACATATACAATATCAATATCATTTAAGAATAACGATCAAGTTCACAATTCTCTATTACATAGTTATGTAAAGTCAATGGTCCTCTCATGGAACCCAAACTCAAACTATTAGCATACCAGTACGTGTTATACGATCCAATATTTATGCCGGAACGTGGCAACTGATCCCATATTTATGCCGAAACGTGGCAACCGATCCAAGCTAATGTGTCGAAACGCAACACCGATCCATTCAACAAGCCACAATCACAATCACAATCACAAAGTACATTCTCATAATCATCCAATCAAGTCATGATTCATGACATTCATCATTCATCTATCATCATGTACAATTAGTGTGATCAACAGTGCAACATTCACATACATACACGTATTATAATGATGCAAGAACAAACATATATCACACAATCATGAAATCACAACCATCACCTACCTCGAAACAAGCTTGAATCCCCTAAGAAACTTGATTCTTCCCTTTTCGGGTTCGTTCCGCTTGTTCTTGGTCTATAAATAATTAATTTAACACGGGAATCAATAAACAATAACTAATTACCTGAATTACTAACAATTCTATCAACCCTAGATCATACACATGATCCCCATACATATATTGGGGCTTTCTTCACCATAATATCTAGATCGAAACCTTTCCCCATCGATAATTATCCATTATATTACGTTCTACGAATCGAAAAATGAATTTGGGGAGTTAAAATCTTACCTTTAGCCTTATTAATGGTGAAAAATCATCAAGAAAACACCTGGATTTGTTCCTTAGCTCTCAAGTTCAAAAATTGTTGAATAAAATATTTTTGGGGTTTATTTTCGACTTTAAGTCGCGTCTTCCCCGCCATGGCGGCACCCACCCTGCTATAGCGACCCACCCTGGCGGCAGAAATCCCGCCTCAGCGGCTAGTAGGAAAATAGTGAACAAAATTAATAATTCCAAGACCCCATTTCACAACACACCTCCAATCGATGACATTCAGAAACTACTTGTTCACGCTAAGATCAATTTCAGGAGTTCTACTCCCCCGAATTCAATTCCGTAAAGTCGTACGGGTTCCTTAATGTCTTAGCTATCTACTCATGAGATCGAAGTCATAATTAGATCACCTAATTGCTACCCGATTTCCCCAGACCTCACATACTCCAATTTCGCAAGTTGGGAAATCTCAAGTTACTATGAAAAAGTTTTTCAGCCCAAAATTTTTCCCCGTTGGCTTTTCTATATCGACGGGAACATGTCGTTACAAGAAATAGTTGGGTCATATTGTAGTACTAACCGAAACAAAGGTGATATTTTGAGCATTAGAGTTTGTTTGACATTGCTGCTAAAAACTACTTATTTTTAGAAACACTCTTTTAAAAAAGCTTTTCCGAAAAATGTTTTTTGACAAAAAACAATTTGTGTTTGGTTTATTCATTTAAAAAGTGTTATTGATAAGTGGATTGTGTTTGATTAATTTTAAAAAAAAATAACTTTAAGAGTCAAATTACGGAAAATGACCAGTCTCAATACACTTTTAATATTAAGATTATTTTAAATATCGATTAAAAAATTAATTAAATTTTATATTTATTAAATTAAAATTTTCAATCAATATTATACATAGATGAAGAAGAAAATAAATTAAATATTGATATAATATTATCATGATACTTTAAATATAATTAAAAAAATCAAGCAAAATAAATTAAAAAATCACTTCACAAATTAAATCACTATATATGAAAAAATCATTCCAAAAATACATTCCAAAAATAAATAAATTAAAAAGATATATTAGTAAATATGTATACATGACATAGATATTTTGATTTTGAAATAAATAATTTTTTGTTTCTGCTTTTTTTAAGAAACATAAATTCTTAAAACTGAAACTTGTATGATGAAAAGAATGATCATTTTTTTCTTTACTATGTAGGCTTTTGAGCTATGGTTGAGATTTGAATTTTGTCAATGAAGTTAGAACCATGTTCATCCTCATTCTCGTACTCTTGCAGGTTGTCAATCTGTGTTTAAAACAGAATTATTGATTTCAATAAACTTTGCAGAAACACGAAGTTACCAAAGTTTAATGAACCAGTAAGAACAGAAGAACATAAATTAATTCACAAAAAACTAAAGTCTGTAAAACATACCATAATCTGTAAAAGACAGAATGAAAAGACAGATCAAGCCCACTGAATGCACAGTGTCCCCTTAAGGAAATTATTCCCCTCTAGTAACTGAGGTTTGATTTGAAATATGTCCTCCCAGGATAGAATGATCTCAATCACCAGTGTATTGATACCCAAAACACTGGTGTCAGCGAGCCACTCAACGGCAGTAAAGTACACGAAAAATATTTGTGCAGAAGAAGAAGAAGAAACTAGAATTTTTGTAAGTAAAAAATTCTGAAGAATAACTGGTATTTATTGCCAAGAGGAACTGATTCCGAAAGGTTGCAACCTTTCAGAATCCACACGACCATTAATGAAAGTTTGCAACCTTTCAAATGCTCATGGCTGTCCCTGAAAGTTGCAACCTTTCAGAACAGTCATTTTCAACGGCAGGAAATTTAAATAAAATGGGAAAGTTTAAATAAAACGGGTCACGTGCAGATCCGAGTCGGGTCGAAACATTTCGGTTAATTAACTAATTAATTGGAACGTTTTGGCCATTTAATTTAATTTAATTAATTAAATAATTAACGACGACGGCGCGAGGGGGGTCCCTCTTTACAACCCTTTTAACAATTAATTAAAGTGTTTCTCTATTTAAACTCTTCTATTTTTCTTTCCACCATCGATGAGGGAGAAATGCCTTTTTACTAAAGCATAAAAGGACTTTTCAAGATCCTCTCTTTTCATCTTTCCTCCATTTCCCATTAACTCTTACTATATACCCAACATTGCATTCATGGCTAAAGTTAGTTTTGGGAGAAATTGTTGTCAACCATGCAAGAATTTTAGGCTTTCTCGTGTACTAGGAACGGTAAGATCCTAAAAAAAATTTAGTTTGAAATAAAGGAAAATCATTTTCGAAAGCTTGTACACATATCCAAATGTTGTGAAACTGCAATTTGATGACTATTTCAAAGGTCTAATCTAGTGCAATTAAAGAATAGATTTAAGATGCAATTTTTTTAAAATTTTTTTTTTTTTTAAAAAAGATAGTTTTGTGGCGATCAAGGTCGCAGTATTGTCTCACTTTATATGACATAGAAAAAATTTCGAGAGTTAATTAAATTTTAATATGATTTTAAAATATTTTAAGTTGTTAATTATTGTAATTTATAGTACTTTTTACGTATTTTTTAAATAATATATATTACTTACCTTGTCCCAATATATGTAGCACAAATAAAATTTCAAGAATCAATATGTTATTTATAATTGAGATTTACAATACTTTTTATGTAGTTTCCAAATTAAATAATACAAGTTATTTCTTTTATCCCATTTTATGTGACATAGATAGACTAATTTAATCAATCGAATTTTTTTTTTTATAAGCAATCAATTTTTTAATATGTTTTTGTAAAAAATATTTTAAGTTGTCAATTATCATGATTATATTTATAGTATTTTTTACGCAATTTTTAAATATAACAATAAAATTAAAAAATAAGACAAACAAATTAAAACGGAGGAAAAACAAATAGGAAAATGTATATGTAAGTGTAGAACCACACAGGTGAAGCAGACATGTTGACGGTCACCTGCGTGGTTATTTTCACTTATATATAAGTAGTGGATATGACAAATTACATATGTCAACGCGTGTAGTGTGTGTCGTGATTTATTTTCTTTGAGAGAAAACCCTAAAATTTCTTCTATTTTGTCTAATTAGTGATGAATGTGTGTTGTGCTTTATTTTCTTTTACGTGTAACACAGACTTGGCTCTTAAGTCTTTAATAATATAATGAAAATTGATAGCAACATTTCTTGTTTATATCATGACTTTTTATTCCGTTTTGTGAAACAAAACCCAACTAGTGTCAATAATCAATAAAAAAAATGAACAGATTTTTTTGTCTTTTTGCTACTTATTTTCCTCTTTATAATCCGTCTTCACATTAATTATAATCTGTTTGTTACTTATTTTCCTCCTCCTTATGAATCTGTTTTCACATTTTGGAAATTATAGTATATACTTTTCAACATTTTATTTGTTTTGGTGCTATATATACAGTGGAGTAACTTTGATCATTGGCAATACCACACACACAAATTAAGATCATATGGAGGAGTACATTTTCTTATTGATTCTTCTCTTTCTACTTCAATTTTCTGTATCATTTGCAACCTCAAATGAGACAGACCAACAAGCTCTACTAGCTTTCCAAAATCTTATTACAAGTCCTAGTCATTTTTTGGCCAACAATTGGACCAACAATACTTATTTTTGCTCTTGGTTTGGTGTCACTTGCACTTCAAAAACCCAAAGGTTTGGGGCCTTGACTCTTCCTAATTTGCAACTTCAAGGCACAATATCCCCGTTTTTGGCCAATTTGTCCTTCCTCGATGTTCTCAATCTTGGGAACAACAACTTCCATGGTGGGATCCCTTATGGACTTGGCCACTTGCCTTGCTTGCGAGTGATTGATGTTCAAAACAATCAGCTAGAAGGAAGTATTCCAACAAGTCTATTTCAACACCAGAAAGTTCAAGTTATTTCATTGGGCTTCAATAAACTCGGTGGTGAAATGTGGAAAGGGCCATGGTGTGTACCGAAACTCAGAGTCTTAAATCTCAAGAACAATAGCCTCACGGGTATAATCCCTCCTTCTATTTGAAATGCCACAAAGTTGCTTAACTTCAGTTTGTATGGAAATAGAGTTGGTGGCAACATTCCAAAGGAAATTGGTAATCTGAGACAACTTGAATTTTTGTCCTTGGTCGATAATCAATTAACAGGTTTCGTAACTGCAACATTGTTTAATATCTCATCACTTCGTGTCCTATCTCTTGGAATCAAAAGACTTTCTGGTCCTCTCTTGCTTGATGAAAGGAATATTGTGTCAAATATAGAGTTTCTAAGTATATCTAACAACCAAATTTCTGGCTGCATTCCTTCCAACATATGCCAACTCACAAAGCTCAAAGTCTTGTCCAGAGCTTTCAACAACATAACTGGAGAAATACCCAGAAATATTGATTGTTTATCCAAACTTGAACAGTTTCTTATTGGTGATAATCCAATAGAAGGGACTATCCCCACTTCATTGGGAAATATATCCACTCTTCAATATATTTATTGTGGAAACAATCGCATAGTGGGGAAAATTCCCCAAGAATTAGGGAAGCTATCAAATTTGAGGCAATTAAACTTTGCCTCTAATTATAATCTTATTGGTCAAATTCCAGAGGCTATTTTTAACATATCTTCTTTGGAAATCATTGATTTCAATTTCAATAGCCTCTCAGGTAGAATTCCAGTCACTACAGGTCTTCATCTTCCAAACCTTAAAGTACTTGAGTTGGGAGCCAATCAGATCAACGGGGAAATTCCATTGTTCATAACAAATGCTTCCAAGATTGAGAAACTGGTACTAGCACGGAACTTTCTCACGGGCGCTATTCCTAATAATTTAGGAAATCTTCGTGAGTTGCGATTACTGTTCTTGCATACTAATCAACTTACCAATGAACCAAGAGAGCATGAATTGTGATTTTTCAATTCTTTGGCGGATTGTAGAATGTTGAAATATCTAGAAGTAGGTTCCAATCCGTTGATTGGCATTCTTCCCAATTCTATTGGGAATCTTTCATCTACTGTTGAATACTTTGAAATAGGATATGCACACATCAACGGCCTCATCCCCATAAGTATAGGCAACATTAGCGGCCTTACAGCCTTGTACTTTGAAGACAACAACTTGGCAGGGAATATTCCTTCTGAGATTGGTAAGCTTAAACAACTCCAAGGGTTGTACCTATCTAAAAATAAATTGGAGGAACATAAGAGGCGGTATGCCATTTATCTAATTTGGTTGAATTAGGTTTGGTTGATAATGAGCTACCTAGATTAATTCCAGAATGCTTAGGTAATCTTAGCATGCTTCAAAAGCTTTATTTGGGTTCTAATAAATTTTTATCAAAAATTCCCTTGAGCCTTTGGAAGATGAGTAGCCTTCTCTATCTTGACGTGTCACATAATTCAATAGAGGGAAAAGTTCTCGAGGATATTGGAGGACTGAAGGCCATTGTAGAACTACATCTTTCCGGTAACCACTTTTCAGGCATGATACCAAGCAGATTCGGGGAACTCCAAAACCTGCAGTCTCTTGACCTGTCGAACAATTCATTTTTTGGACAAATTCCATCTTCCTTTTCCAACTTGATAAGCTTGGAATTCTTGAATTTGTCTTTAAATGCATTCTCAAGTACTATTTCTATGTCTTTGGAAAAACTTTCATCCCTTAAAAGCATTAATGTTTCATTTAATGATTTAAAAGGTGAAATACCTAGTGGCGGTGTGTTTGCAAATTCCACACTACAATCATTTCTCGGGAACAAAGGTCTATGTGGAGTGCACATATTGGAGATTCCTGCTTGTGCTATCACTAATCCTGGACAACAATCAAAGCTTAAGGAGGTTGTGCTAAAAATTGTTTCTCCGATGGTTATTTCATCCTTTCTCATATTCTTGTTGGTTTCAATTTGGATAATGAAACGACAAAAGAAAGGAAAGTCCAAAGATGTGGAGAAGGCTTTAGAGATCAAAACTCATCAATTGATTACTTATCACAAGATTCAACAAGCAACAAATAATTTTGATGAATCCAATTTAATTGGTGTGGGAAGTTTTGGCTCTGTGTACAAAGGCACATTATCTGGGGGGAAGTGTAGTGGCAATAAAGGTTCTAGACTTGGAAAATGAGCAAGTATGCAAGAGGTTTGATACTGAATGCGAAGTGATGAGAAATGTTAGACATAGAAATCTTGTTCCAATGATTACTACATTTTCTAGTGACTATATAAGAGCCTTTGTTCTGCAATTTATGCCCAATGAAAGTCTTGAGAATTGGTTGTACAAAGAAGATTGTCACTTGAATCTTCATCAAAGAGTCACTATAATGCTTGATGTAGCTATGGCAATTGAATATCTACATTATAGTCATGTCAATTAGATAGTTCATTGTGACCTAAAGCCAGCCAACGTTCTTTTGGATGAAGATATGGTGGCTCATATTGGTGATTTTGGAATCTCTAAAATTTTAGCCATAAGCAAGTTCATGGCTTATACCGAGACATTAGGCACTCTTGGATACATTGCACCAGGTATAAAGAATCTACTCCTTTGATTTTCTCTTATTATAATTATGACTCTCCAAATTCTAATGGTAAAAAAGGTAAGTCTTTATTTATGCAGAATTATTGTTTTATTTCAATTGAGTAACTTTTCTTCAATCCTTTTTTTAAGAATATGGCTTGGAGGGAATAGTGTCCGCTAATGGTGATGTTTATAGTTATGGCATCATGTTGATGGAGGTTTTGACCAAAAGAAGGCCAATAGATGAAGAGATATGCAATGAAAATCTTGACTTGAGAAAATGGATAACACAATCATTTTCAGGGACTATGATGGATGTTTTGGATGCTAATTTATTTTCTAAGGAAGAACAAATCACTTCTAAAAGTGAAAGTTGCATCGCCTGCACGATGGAACTAGCTTTTGATTGCACAAAGGAAATGCCAGAATCAAGGATAACCATGAAAGATGTAGTCAAGAGGCTTAACAAAATCAAGAACACGTTTCTAGAATCATAGAAGTTAGCATCTCTTCCGGTGGTGTTCTTTCTAAGCTGCGAGTTAATATGTTACTTTTTGTTTACCTGGTTTCTTTAGTCATTCGTACTTCCAGGAGACATGTACTATTTGTACTTCAGAGTGTTGCATTTCCCTCATTTTGTGATTTCAAATTCGAGTAGACTTTAAAATGTTTCGGATGCTTGAATAGAATTAAGAAATATTACGAAAGTGTGTAGCTTTACTATTTATCTTTCTGTTTGCCTTTACTTCATATTTTTTATTTATCAATTGTTGGGTTTTAAAAGGTGTTAATGAAAATTGAAGAGTTGTGACTTTTATGAAGAGTTGTGACTTTTATGAAAAGTTGCGACTTTTATGAAAAGTTGTGACTTTTATGAAAAGTTGTGACTTTTATGAAAAGTTGTGACTTTTATGAAAAGTTGTGACTTTTATGAAAAGTTGTGACTTTTATGAAAAGTTGTGACTTTTATGAAAAGTTGTGACTTTTATGAAAAGTTGTGACTTTTATGAAAAGTTGTGACTTTTATGAAAAGTTGTGACTTTTATGAAAAGTTGTGACTTTTATGAAAAGTTGTGACTTTTATGAAAAGTTGTGACTTTTATGAAAAGTTGTGACTTTTATGAAAAGTTGTGACTTTTATGAAAAGTTGTGACTTTTATGAAAGGTTGTGACCTTTCCGAAATATTGTGACTTTTCCAAAGGTTTGTGACCTTTCCGGTACGGCACAATAAGAACCTTTTCACACTACCCTTTGTTTTCTATAAATTGAGGGATTTTCTCTCATTTTAGTTGAACTAATTTTTCTGTACTTCTTCTACTACTACTAAATCTAGTATTCTAAGTGTACTTTACTGCCGTTGAGTTGTTCGCTGACACCGTGGTTTTAGGTACCGATACACTAGTGAGTAAGATCGTTCTATCCTGGGAGGATATATTCCATTAACCTCGGGTACTTGAGGGGAATAATTTTCTTAAGGGGACATTGTGCATTCAGTGGGCTCGATTTTCTTCTTTAAGAAAAATATTCCGTATATTGTTTCTAATATGTTTCTAATTCTATTTTCTCTACTAGTTTAAATTTTCTAGTTTTGAAAATGCTCTTTAAACTTTGTTGTTTCTTACCAAGTTCTTCAAAGTTTTTGTTCTAAGTATCTTATGAATACAAGATGAACAACAATCTTAAGGGAGTTATTATACTGTTGATATTTCTTGTATTCTACTGATTGAGAGAAACAAATCATAGAAGTAGAAGATTAATGCATTACTTCTCCAGAATTTGGTGCTTTGTTTAACAAGGTCGAAGTGAGAATGTACTAGAAGAATTGGTGGTATTTCGGTTAAAGATTACTCTAGGTACCCTTCTTATTATTTATCTAAGGAGGAAAATGGTTTCTAAAAGTTAACAGTTTTGATATTTATCATGTATGTCTTTGGAAAAAGATCTGCAAACCATATGGTTTTTTGAATGAATTTTCCTGGCAAAAAGTGTTGCCTTTAAAATTCTTTAGTTTGCAGAATGAGAAATGCACATTTTTGTTTGATAAAATAGTATGCCAAAATGTTATAGTTGGAAGGCTAATTTGAAAAGAAAAGCATATCTATGTGATAATCTATGAATATGTTCAATTCTGTTTGGAGACTGCAAAAACTTTTAGTAGTTTTGTACTCCATGTGAAATTTGATTGTGTATGATTTTTGTAGACTAAAAACTTTTGTAGTTTTTCTACTCTGGATAAATTAGACTATGCAATTGGTTTGAAGAATATGAAAACTTCACATAATAAGTTAATGTTGTACTTTTGATTTTCTATAAACTTCATTGTTATATAGAAATGAATTGTACAAAAAAAATTGTCTTTATTGTTAGTATTTTAAATACTATGTGGTATGTCTATTTGTGATAGAGGAAAAATACCAGTGACTTAGAGTTTGTGATTTTGTACCTCTATGGAATGAACTTTGACATTGTGTAAAAATTGTCATATGGAATTGAAGGACTATAATTCTTTTGTAGAATAATATTTTCAAAAGTGGTTTCATGTTGCCAATGACACTTTGATAGCATGAAGAAAAAAAATATGTGGAAAAACTATTTTCAAATACTTGAAAAAGGATTTTTGAGATCATATTTAAAATGTGGGGGGATCTTTGCTTATGACAAAGATAAAATTAGACTTAGTGTCTAATTTAAATTTGGAGCACAAGATATGAAATTCGATGATACTTTAGTATTATGTTAGACCAACAAAATTCTTGGAGTATATTTGATATTGTGGCCGTTGAGTTTCTCGTTTACTTGTTTATGGTATGACTAGTATGAAACTACCAAATTATATGTATACTTGTTCAAAATGATTGAGTTCTTTATAAAAAAAGTGTCACTTAAAATGTTGTGATTTTTCATGAAAAGATATGTCTATTAAATATAACTATTTGTATAGACATGAATATTGGTGAATAGTCATTTGTCATGTTTTGTAAAGAAGCATTTGGACTATATTGCCTTTATTGGACCCAATAAAACTTTGATCATGGGTAGTTCTCTAACAATCAAATTGTAAGTTATGTGATTCTTGGAGTATGTTTGATATTGTGGTCGTTGAGTTTCTCATTTACTTGTATTGGTATGACTAGTATGAAACTACCAAATTATATGTATACTTGTTCAAAATGATTGAGTTCTTTTATAAAAAAATTGTCACTTAAAATGTTGTGATTTTTCATGAAAAGATATGTTTGTTAAATATAACTATTTGTATAGACATGAATATTGGTGAATAGTCATTTGTCATGTTTTGTAAAAGAAGCATTTGGACTGTATTGCCTTTATTGGACCCGATGAAACTTTGTTCATGGGTAGTTCTATAACAATCAAATTGAAAGTTATGGAAAGGTCCTTTCGAAAAGGACATTTGGGTGATGACTCTAAACAGTGTTTGTATCACACAAAATTATAAAAAAGAGGAACAAAATCTTTGTAAGGAAAACCTACCTCGCGGAGAGCTTTTCAAAATCAATATTTTTATTTGTTTGAGTCAAACTGTTTGTGACATGAACACTTGGGGCATGTCAATTACAAAACCTTGTAAGGAAAACTGATCAACTTAGAAGTTTTGTCTAACTTTGGGTGCAATAAATAAAAATGCCAAGTTTGTGTGGAATCTAAGTATGCTGAGCATTTTTATAAATCTATTGAAAGGAATTCTAATCCCTTAGAGTTGATTTACACTGACATTTGTGATATGAAGTCAACACCATCTCGTGGTGGGAAAATGTATCTCATAACTTTCATTGACGATTGCATTAGAAACGACTATGTTTATTTGCTGAATGGTAAGGATGAAGTAATAGAAATGTCTAGACAATATAATATTGAAGTTGAAAATCAGTTGGGAAAAAGATAAGAAGTGATAGGGATGGAGAATATAAATCTCCTTTTGCAGATATGTTTGGAAAGTGGATTTATTCATCAAACTACTGCCCTATTCACCTCAATCTAATGGAATTACACAATGGAAAAAAATCAAACTCTGGAGGAAATGATGGCTACGTTACTTATAAGTTCAGGTTTACCAAAAAACTTGTGTGGAGAAGCTATCCTTACAACAAAAGGGAACAACAAAAAGTTTTCTTTTCAGAAAGAAAGCAATAAAAATTTTTGTTTGTTCAGGACACAATCTATTCCATATGAGAAATGGAAAGGAAAACAAATTCAACTTGAAATATTTCAATGTGTGGGGATGTCTAGACAAAGTCCAAGTTCCTATTTTTAAAAGGATTAAAATAGGACCTATGAATGTGGACTGTAAAATTATACTTGAGTAGTCTAGTGAAGGGTCTAAAAGACCTTTGAAAGAAAAAAGGAGAATGCACTTAATAAAGAGATTCAGAGGCGTAGTAAATGTCAAAGGACATCTACTTCCTTCGAATATGATTTTGTAACATTTCTTGTGTCTTCTGTAGACTCATCCTTTTGGAAAGATGGTGTCAATAGTGAGATTGATTCAATCTTGAGCAAGCATATTGGAAGTTAATTGATTTTCTTCTAGAAAATAAACCTTTGGGTTCAAAGTGAATCTTCAGAAGGAAAATGAAAGTCAATGAAACTATTGGCAAATACAAAGCAAGACTTTTTGTCAAAGGTTGTAGACAAAAATAAGGTTTTGATTTTGTTGACACATACTCGCCACTAACTAGAATTGCATTCATTCAGATGTTAATTGCATTAGCTGCGGTATATGACCTCCAAATTCATCAAATGAATGTGAAATCAATTTTCATAAATAGAAAATTGGAGGAAGAAATTTACATGGAACAACCCCGAGGGTTTTGTGGTTCTTGGTAAAGAAAAGAAATTGTGTGAACTAGTTAAGTCACTTTATGGACTAAAACAAACACCCAAACAATGACATAAGAAATTTGACCAAACCATGTTGCCAAATGGATTTAAGAATGATGGAAGTGATAAATGTGTTTACATTAAAATCACACGGTCATTGTTTGTTTGCATATTGATGACATGTTGATCATCATTAGAGACACTAATGACATAAATGCTACTAAACGTATGCTAGAAAGCAGGTTTGATATGAAAGATCTTGGAGTACTTCCTGATGCGATCTTAGGTATAAGAATCCTTAGAACTCCATAATGTTTAGCAGTGTCACGGTCTCAGTGCATCGAAAAAGGTACTTGACTAGTTCAAATATTTGGATTTCAATATTGTCAAGACTCCAATAAATGTGAGCTTTGCATTTCAAATGAGTGAAGGCGAAAATGACTCACAATTGGATTGTGCTAGAGTATTGGGAAGTATGATGTATATCAAGAAGTGTACTCGATCAGATATAGTATGTGCTATTAGTAAATTGAGTCGGTTCACGAGTAATCCCAATCAAACTCATTGGATGGCAATGAAGAGAGTTTTAGGGTATTTAAAACATACTAAAAACTATGTCTTGTATTATAACAATATCCAGCAGTATTGAAAGGATATAGTGATGCAAATTGGATCACCGGGATCAAATAAAGT